AACAACTTCTATACAACGAAAGGAGACTGCGACCACACAAAAGGCCACACCATTTTGGTCTTCATACTTTTAAAGTCTATTATGTTTCTCCGGCGTGGAAGGGGATCGCCTCAAGGAGAGCGTCAACCAGAGGAGCTTTAAATGGCAACACAATAGCGCCCTGTCATACCACCATATACACTTTCATGACTAGGCAGGCCAATTCTAAATCACACTTATTTTGGAAGTGTCGATGATGCATACTTGCATCTGTCATTACAACTAATGACGTTACTTAAACTCATGGTGATTATGCTCTGAGACTAGTGTCTAGATGGACGCTTTCGATTTCTAAATGAAAGTTTTTGCTCCATACCCTATTTTTGCATCATTACAAAGGAAAGTTCTGGGCTAAATCTTTGCTGCCGATGTCGAAAATGACGAACGACGTAGCGCAAATGATTGCATCTGAACAGTCCATTTCATTTGATCCTTAAGATGAGGTTTACTTCTTCTTTTAATTTCGTGCCTGAACTTTTGTACATAACCGTTCTGTTACTCTGTAGCGCCAAAAAGTCGTTAAACTTCGAGCCCTCAGAAGCATCCAAATGTTTGTAAAAGTTGTATTTTAATGCATACGTATTAACTGTATTTCGAAGTCAAGTCATATGTTCGAACAGAAACTAGCATGAGTCCGAGTCATATGGATGCAGAGGAAGAAGTTGGGGTAGTAATAAAGTTTATCGGCTCATGAACTACAAATGGGGAGATAGATATTTCTTCGGACTAATTTGCCTGACAAACAATGCATACATGCGCTTGCCTGTCTGATATATTATGTACAGTTCAAGGCAGGAAAAAGCTAGAATCAGAACAGGAGGCCTGATAATTACGTTGACATCAGCCACAGCAGCAGATTTAATGCCAACTGTGAGGAGAAGAGATAGACAGGCCACATTATGACACAGCCGACTAAACTCGAAAACATGATACAACCAGGCCTGAAACTATTGGTCTGCCTTGACGACAGTTTCTATGGTGAAAGGACGGAACAGTTTGGTCTGTCGAGGGGTTGACGTCGAGTTGTTCGAGGCCGTATCATGGGAGAATATCCACCGCTCTTCACCAGAGCAGGCCAACGGCCATCTGTTGGAAGGCTCGGACGGAGGCAGTGGAAGTGATTTCTGATTAGTTGATTTGTCGTGTTCAGACGGTAGCTGGTGTTGCTTATGTTTGTGCTGCAGGCGAACTGGCTGTAGAGAAGAGGAAGTACAGGACGAAGGGGATGAAGCAGAAGAAGAATTCGACTGGACATCGCACGAGCTGAATGAGTGCTTGTAACCATGTTGACCAGGTGAGACGGCCAGATCATCTCTCGTGGGACTACCACTTTCTGAAGGTGATTTATGCCCTTTCGCGTGAACTGGAACGCCAATCAGATCACAAAGAGTTGATGTGGTGTTGGAAACTCGAGATGTCTTCATCATTGAATAGTTGGAGTTGTTGGTCATTGAGTCCTCTTGTGAAATGCTCGTCTCCAAAGCGCCAGTCTGTCTGGCTCCTCCGGACGGAAGTCTAAGGTGCCGCTTGGCGTAGTGAGTGGTTGTCGATATGTCGGTGCTAGAGAGGGGTGGGGTACCATCCGGCCCAGGCTGATAGGTTCTCAGTTCGGCTCTAGACGCAATCTCTTCCGCGGTCTGACTGACGTCAATGTCGTCCATCTCCATTGAGTTGCTTTTGTGTGCTCCGTCACCGGAACCGCGACCTGGTGTGCCCCCACTGCGATTTGGACTCGTCATCTGTTGTGAACCCGACATCGGTGAGGGTGGGCTCGTGCTGGTGGCTTGGCTGCTGAAAGTGTTGTCGCCTGCTGATGTGGTGTTGGTGTAAGTGGTTGCCGAGGCCGTCATGGTAGGCAGAGGCTCTTCGAGTTGCCGAGGTTGATCCGCCTTGTAGCAGACGGCCAACTCGTCACCACTTCGGGCACAGACATTTTCACCAACTGCATTTAATTCTTCTCTTTCGCACTCTGCTTCATCTACAATCTCTTTTTCCGGTTTGGTCTTATTGTCCTCCCCTTCTTCGACTTCTTTCGTTGTTTCATCCTGTTGCCATGGCCACTTTATATCTCTTCTCTTGTGGTCTGTCCTGCTGACAGACTCCTCAGCTGGTCTGCATCGACGCTTTCGCAGCAGTGAAACGCCAAGAGACTCATCTTCATCATTCAGCATTTTGCCTGGTTCAATCTCTTCATAGGCCCAGGAGGGCTGATGTGTCGAAGTGGACGTATCCTCTTCACTTTGTGGTGCCTTAGTCATGGTGGCGGCCGTAGCTGCGACAGCGGCAGCAGCTGCGGCTAGCATGTTCTGCTGTACCAAATGATAGAGCTGCTGGTAACGCCTGGTGAGGCCGGGAGAGGAAGGCGATTGCGGCGAAATAGTTGCCATGTCTGCGAACTGATGAGGCTGCGAAAAAGGAGGAGGCGGCGGCGGCGGCGGCGGCGGCGGCGGCGGCGGAGGAGGAGGAGGAGGAAGTGGCGGCGGTGGAAGAGGAGGAGACTGATATGAAGATGCTCCTGATGGGATTAGTGGAATAGTAAAAGGCAGGTGCTGAAGCGGCTTGAGCAAAGAGGTGGCCGAACGGGGTAGTTGGTCGAACCATTCGGAAGCACGCATTGCAAGACTGGATGTGGGTTTGGTACACGAAGCCTGCCCAGGCAGTGGGGAAGGTGTGCCAAGTCGTAATTTATCCACCTCTAAGCTTCTGCTTGACATGGCCTCGAGGGCTGGCCATGCAGTCTGGGCGCCGGCGTCATGTGGATAGCCGACATTGACTTGGGGCACATGGGCAGAGTGCCCAAGACTCAAGCAGCCCGTCCATGGGGCGGGATCTAACCCTGAAGGCGGCAGGGGTGGCGGCAGAGGAGGCAGAGGAGGCAGGATACAGTTGGCGCCCGAAAGGGTGAATCCACCGATCGGCCCCGGATCGGCCAGTCCTGAGGCTGGGGCCGGCTCGTCATGGCGATTGCGATGACCGCATTTTAGGCCACCAAAGCCTGTGAGGAGAGGTGATCCTCCAAGTAGACCACTTGCTTCTCTGTGGCCGAAGGGTAGCAGACTACCAGGTAATGGGGAAGAGGCGAGCCTTGATGTTGGTTCAGGAGCCTGAGGAGCCAGAGAAAAAAGGCCTGGAGAAGAGGCAGTGAATTGCGGGGCCACTTGGTTGCTGGGCTCAAGAGGGGGACTGTTACAGGATTTGGAGGTGGCTGTCGCATAGATTGAGGATCCTCGGCGGCCTCCGGAACCCTTGGCGACAGTTTCGTGAAGATGCAGTTTTCTCCTGACTGTCCTCATCATCTTTTGCTGTTGCGACTTCTTCTTATGCACTGAAAACTTGTCCTTCTCTTTCACAGCTGGTTCCAGCTTGTTTGATTCTGATTCCGATTCTTCGTCCTCCTCGTCTTCGTCACATCTGCCGACGCCTTTTTCATCGCTTGCATTTGCACTTTGGTCTTTGTCATCACTAGATTTGGCCATGGGTCCAATAGGGGACGTGGTACTTGCGTGAAGTATGTAGGCTGAGAGTTGAGACTGATCCGACTCTTCGTCTGACCTCTGGAGGCCCTGGAACTGCTGAGTTATTGACTGATGCTGGTAATGCAACTGGTGTTGGTGCTGATGGTGGGAGTGCGATTGGGCCTGCTGACTTTGCGGACGAGGAGAAACCGGGGAAGCTGGTTGCACCAACAATGAGGCTAGCGGTGGCGTCAAGGCTGCAGAGTTTAACGGCGTTTGCAACACTTGGAATGAGGCTGGAGCCGAAGTTATTCGAGTATTTGAAGGGCCTGGATTCTGACTTGTTTGGCCTAGGCAACCGGAAGCGCCCGAGAGACCAGTTAAGGCAGCCGTCAGAGCTGCCAAGGCCGGACTAGCCTCGGCTGTAGCAGAGGCTGGTGTTGATTCTGCCGACACTAAGCCTGGGCTGAAACAAGAATTCGAGCCCAGAGTGCCGGTCATCGCTTCTGCAGTCTGCACTGGATACCGAGTGCTGTAGTAGAGCTGTGCCACTCGCAACAGAGTTTCACGCAAGTGGGGATCATTTCCTAAACATTTAGACAGGGAGAAGCAAAACATTATTAAACCAATTAATTAAGTATAAGGAAAAAATCCGTCTACTGTATGATAAGCCTTAACAATTTCGTCCTTTAATTATTTGGTCGAAAGTTTTGGTCAAATTAGATGTCAAAAGTTGGCCGGTTAGAATTCAACTTCAAGAATAACTGTGTAAACGACCTAACTTCCAACTGCAATAGGCAGAAATTATTAGTTTAATTTACCTGAGGAAGGATTAGTAGTAGATTGATGCTGGAAGGGATTCGTAATTTGGCC